TACGGAATATGCACCTTAAACAGTCTTACGAATTTTATTTATGATTATCTTTATAATATCGGTTTTGATATTCGCCAGATAAATAATTTACTTTATAAGTTTCACAGCTACTTTAAAATCAGCAATCGTTTCACATAACTTTTGAACTGCATATTTGGATGATTGTAGTCCACAGCAAGATATAACGTGAATTGCTTATATAACAGGGCCGTTTCTCAGTACGTTCCTCGTCCATTAGAAAACTTAGCGCATTGAGACGACATCTCAGATCAATTTTTTTGAAATTACAAAAGTAATGCAGATCTTCTCGTGCCACATTGTCGAAATTTTTATATTTTTGAAGAGCCTACATGTCACTGCAAATTAACTATTTTGTGCGTAAAAGCAATCTGGGCTTGTTGCGTAAGAATTGCCACTCAGCGCTTAAAATAATTACCTCGACAACAGGAAATTAATTGTTTATTGCAACCAGATATGGACATACGCCATTGAGACTTTCGGCTAAATTTAGAAGGGGTAAAGGTTGGGGAAATTCTGGTAAGGCAACTTTAGACCGTTTCCAAATAGCATTCAATTTGGCTCGGCTGCAGAAACCTTAATTGAATGTGATATTTTTTTCAGAATCTGTCACATCGTTAACACGGGTCATACTGTCCTAAGTGGAGTTGTCCTCAATAGGTCAAATCCAGGCCAGGAGAATTCTCAACGGACAATTTGTAGACAAGCGGCGGACTTCCAAGCAAAATATAAACACTCGCAGATTTATAATAATTTCCCTCCTCTGTAGAACATGGACAGCTCTAGCAGCCTCAAAAAAGGTGACAATGCGTAAATGCTAGAAGTTTCCAAAAGTGAATGTTATCTTTGCCGTTTCAGGGTAGCAAGACGTCAAAGCAAAAAAGTCGCTTGAAAATAGTCCAGATTTTATGTTATGCAAATTATTGTTAAAATCAAACTTGCGGCCAAATTTGATCCTCTGCGCAAATATTTTGCACTTTATTTCAATTTGGCTAACTCATGAGTAACTAATTTAAATTTTGTGTACTTTATACACCAACGTCTTTTCCAAGTGTCCGTTGCTGCTTGTAACTGCGCATTTAGAGCAAAAACCCTTTCATAAGGGTCCCATTTCAAAGGTGAATCTGATAATGCAGGAAATTAGGGACGTCAAAGGCATGATGGGCAACAGTACTTTGAATTGCAACCCTGTGTAGTAGGTCGATGTCTTGAACTGTAGGTAGTCGAAGTAAGTGTATTCTAGCAGGCGACACGACCTAGTTAGACACGATCAACAGCGTTCGTGTGATACGAGACAGGAAAGGCCTTCCTTCCAGTAAAATCCGCTCAAAATAGCTAATGCAAATTATCAAAAAGGAAAAAAATTAATTGCTCCCTTAATGCATTATCCGAAGAGCCTCTGCTCCCAGTAATATTCACGATTCGATGATGGCAATGGATCGTTGCTGTTGAAAAATGGATGTAAAATAAACTCCCAACCGAAAATCCCAATTTTGTTTGCATCTTCAAACTCTTCAAAACACCGATATTTCATTTAAAAAGGGGGGCTTGACATGCGGGGTAACACAGGATCGCTAGTGCCTCCGCATAAAGCATGAAATCGGTCTTGTATGATCACGCTGTTTTCGCAGGACCTTGCTAAACGTAAACATCACCTATTCGATTGTTTCCTTGCCGTAGATCACTCCTACACAATTCCGTATTTTGTAGGCAACAAGTCGCCTGACGGCATGCACCGATAAGTTACGGAACGACAGTAGCGTGTTGGATTATTAAATGATCTGTCCTTAACTATCTCCAGTCTTTGCACTTTTCCAGCCGTACCTATCGGAATGTTCACGCATCCTTGCAATTTGATCGTGCCAAAGTGAGTTTAAATGAAAATATATTGATAAAGTATAAAAGTGGTCTGTCGGAAGAGAAGCGAACTACTCTGTTTTAAAAAGAGTAAAAAGAGCTCCTGTAAGATAAGATTTATATCAATGGTGAATTTATCCAAAAGCAGACGATTTAAAAAAATGTCGAGTTTTTCTAGTTCTGTTGAACTCCCGATAATCCATAGTAATTGATCCCTATTTGGAGCATGGGGATCAAAGAAATAATTACGTGCCTACGTGGAAAGGTCACATTCCACGTGAAGGTGTGTCACAACACATGGATGAGACGTCGAACTCATCCTCTCGAAGACAAGGTGCCGAAACACCAAAACCATAGCCAGACATTTCACAGGAATTGTTAGTCGACAAAGCTTAACTATTCAATCTCATCGGAACACCTGAACGCAGATCGATTCACTGTGGACGAGCCTGCGCCTAACACCTTCTTCAAGGGGAAGAGGTGCTGGGAATCCAGTATTCCCCAATACGACTCATCGCGGGTTAGGATTTCGTCGTCGTTTGCACGATTCCCTCAACCACGCCACTTCAGTAGATGAGCCACCCACGGCACCATGCTGACAGCTCCATCTGTGTTAATCAGCCTTCATCCACCAAGTCAAGATCATCCCTGGACCCATTTCGACAGATCACTCTACCTTTGGCTGAGACAATAAAAGCCCTCTGAATGAGTTCTCGTCTTGCCTTACATCAGCGTGGTAAGGTGGGCGGGAGCCAGTGTCAGACAGGGCAGCTGGAGTACCGGTTATCTGAGTGTGTGGCCTTGGTTACGGGCAAAACGTAACAGGGTATTTCACAAAAACACCAACGGACAGAACGAGCTGAACCTACAGCAGAAACAATGATTTTTGTGATTCACAGTTTACTCAATTTGTTGGCCATTGAAAAGGAAGTGATAATGTTCTAGATGTTAGATCAACAATACAGCAAAACCAAGTTAAAAACGAAACTATGCTAAAATTTACCGGAGGAACTACACATGCTTAAAAGCATAATGTTTTCTTTCCTTAATTTGTTCAATTTTCACTCTGAATTGTTTCATTGTTTTGTCCGGTTTCAGAGCATTATGCCAATAGTTTTAATGTTACATAAGGAGTTACAATGCCACAGATAAACTAGAATTAGTTGAAGTTTGGAGCTGTGAGGCCTGATTTTCTCCGCAATTCAGTGGATAATGGACTTTCTTGGAACACGATGTTTATCGTTTTCCACTAAAAAATAACATGCATTGGGCACCTAAATGTGATTATATCAAAGTTGCAAACTTACTTCGCTTTAGAAAAGAATTTTTGTCAAGAACATATAGATCACTGAGCAAGATGTCACCATGGAGTCACCTACTATTAGAGTAACGACGGCAACTATCCTTGTTAAGATGTGAAATTCGTGAGAAATGAGGCACAAATAATACTTTTATGAAATTAACTACTTACTATGGTAATTAATTGAGTGTTGTATTGATTGAAGTTGGGAAAAAAATAAGGGACTGCATTTCTGTTTGCAATTCCGTGCTTTAATGGAACGAAAACTAGTACTTCGACTAACAACTCAACTTGTGACAATAAACAGAATGTGAATATTAAAGCGATGCGAGCAGTCATAGATGTTTACTGGGGCTGGTTTGCATCCAAAACAGATCAAACCGTCTATTTAGTGTAATTTGGAGGGTGTCAGGTGTTATTAATTGCCGTCAGCTAAACCTTCTCCATAAAAAGCTATGTACTGCTGGTGAGAATAATAATTTCTACATAACTGGCCCATTAGGTAATTTTAATGAAAACAAATTGGCTATACAAAACTAAACTCCACAAAATTTAATTAAATATATTCCAAATGTTAAAAATTCCCTTCAAGAAAGCCATGTAAAATGCCAAAAATATCTACATTACTGGTCACGAATCGACAATTGAAGCGAGATTCATGTCCTAACGCCTCTGTTATGGATGACTCTGAAATTCCAGAACCCCACTTGTGACACCTCATTTTGCAACAGAACTGACTTAGGACAGTTACCTTCCCATTTTCGCATGTTCTGCGTGGGTCAGTTAACTCGAATCGTGGTAGCCAATGAGTAACTAAGTTCCCACCCACACTATGCGCTGACTTGGTCATAATCCTATGAGTCACTATCCCACTAGACCTGGACACAAGTCATGGCCTTGGCTTGAGTAGCGGAATTAGGGCTGAGTTGAGAGCCGCAGTTTACTGAACTGGCCGGTGGACGTGCGGCGGTGTGATTATCTGATGCACACGTTCGAGTCCTGGATGGCGCCCAGTAAGGGAATCCGATGTAATGGAGTTGGTCTGTGCTTCCTAAAATTAAATTATCGGAGTTGTATCAGCTATCGAACAGTAATCTTGAGCTGATTTTGGATTAAAAATACCGCATACTAAAAATGTGATTTCTGGGGAGGTAACTTTAAGATACATGAATGTATCTTTTAAGCATAATTGCATGCCTTAGTGACACCACATTATTTTTCTTCTTCGGATATCTCACACATGCCAACGGCGACTTACTACAATGATGAGAGCCAGTTGGACTAAGAGGCGTGCAGCGACAGACAGCTGCAACCATTAAAGTCAAAAGGCCATTAATCGTGAACATAAGGTCGCCACACTTAGGCTGACTCAGATGGCGCGATTTGTCTCGAGGTCGCGTGACTTGTCGCCATTCCCTCGCAAGCGCATGACTAAGCCTGTGAGAACTGACATTTGCAGCGCCGTGACTTGAATCTATAGGACACGACCATCCGTGACCTCGGTTTCCCAAATCGTGGTCATAGTAAATGAGTTTTTGCGCTATAATAATGCGACAACACTAAACCACTAGTTTCCGCTGTCCGTTCAAACGAAACGGCATTCAAGCTGAAGCGGCGTGATTGGCAGTCATCTGCCGTTAAGACTATTGGTTAATTTAACTAACCAATGAAAATCCTCCGTGGTGCAGGCGCATGATTCAACACGCTTTCTCTGTGGTAAAGCGTCATACCACGCGCACACAACGCCATCAGGCAACCTTATTTGATCGCGCGGCGCAAGTTTGTCCTCTTCACGGTTCTGAAATGACATTTTTTACCTGACAGTATGTTTGAGAGCGGATATTTGGTCCCGATGGCAGCTGAGTGGTTGGCTTCCCCAGCCCCAAAAAGATCCCTCCTGGGAAGCATCCTCTATCGTCAACTGCACAGCTCCAATACATCCACGTTTACAGTTGCGTGGAACCAAATCCAAAACTCTGGACTGTCTTTCCTCATAAACGGAATCTGCATTTTATCCTTAGCTATTATTTTAATTAGCCTAGGTCCATTAATACAAATCGTGCTCTCCTCTTCTCAGTGTGGCTTACGCAGGAGAAAGTCACCCAACCCCAGACGCCAGCAAATCACAGTTTTTCTGCTGTGCTTCATCTGCTGTTGGTTTCTGCTGGGAACTTTTCTAATCGCTTCTGTGATTTTCCTATCCGAGAACCTTGACTTCGCTCACCCCCAGAGTTCGAGTTTTGTTAATCGGGTTGATGACGTCTCGAATCGAACATTCACTCTCCTCCGAATGCTGGCGAATGAGTCGTTGTCTCTGGTTGATGATGCTGTTAATGGTCTCATGGGTGATGTTTACATGAGCATCCTCACTGAGGTACCTACAATCACCACCCAATTCCTAAACCACACTAACTTGAATACTCCCTTAGCAATGCTGGGCGATTTAGCCCGAACCGTGGAAAGTCTGCTGAGTGCCCATATCCATCTCCGAGAAAACGGTCCTCAAGTAGCCTCGGAGTTGGGTAAATTAGACTCCAATATCCGAGTTAATGGAGACATGCTTTTAAATGAGTTCAAGCAAGTTTGGAAGGAATGCGGTGAAGTCGAAAGCCACATCCCATCCCTCAAACCCTTTGGAGAAGCAATCGCACAACTTTCAACCGGCCTCTACGATAATCAAAGCGAGTTCGTGCCATTTTTTCAACTCTTCCGTCTCGAGAGCAGCCTTGGCCTTTTCAATATGCTTAACGTTCTCCCTTTCAACGTGTCCGAAGTTACAGCCCAGCTAAAGAGTGCTATCAAGGTGCGCACAGAGCTTGAAGAATCTATTAAAAATAAGACAGTCATCTTGTTTAGAAGTCTGTCTGACCAGCCAGACAAGGTAGCAGGCTTCTTAGCTCCCTACATGGACAATGTGGTTGCAAATATCAATACAACCGATCAACTGTATCACCAGAATATGGAAGTTGTGAAATCGTTTATCTACAGGCTCGAACGCATGTGGATTATAATCTACTTCATCGGATTGATGGTGCTGGCCACTCCGACTGTCCTGCTTCTTTCCTCTTGTCTGCGACCGCGGCATAGTGTGATGCACCCTGTGAAAAAGGTGTCCCCACTTCTGACACCCAGCGAGGCAGATTCAGTGGTATCTTCTGGGCGTGGGTCTTCCGATGATGAGGTTTCTTCAGTTGTTTCCGCACCTCCGACAAGAAAACGACAGGCGTTCTCAGGAGCCTACTCGGAATTAAAGTCTCTTGATTGTCCCACAGTCCATGAACTACTTGTCAATCCAGAAAGAAGTCGGTCGCTGTCCCTCGACTCAGACAGTGGATGTCCGCGTAACGATAGTCGTTTAGAAAAGGAAGTGAGTTTGAGCATTGCAGTGTCAGCCAACTTGTCAGTAAGAGCTTCATTCGCTGCTAGCGATTTGTCATTACGACAGGGAATTCATATGCTTCATATACTTGTCATATGCTTCTAGCGTGAGCATACTAACTCACTTGCATGCCCCTCACTCTCCCTGACTCGCAACCCTTGACAGATTTTAAAGTTGCTCCAGTCATCTACTTTAAACTGAATTTACGCCTTACTATTGCTATTCCTTATATCTCAGACTAATTCACCTTGAAGTACTTCGTGACCTCTCCATTGCGGACACAATCATGTCTTCATTTCGTGAATTGCATCCCTTACCTCATGAGTTCTGGTCACTATGCTAGTCTTTGGTTTCAATTTTACATGGAAGAAGCCACCATAATGTGGCCACAAAAGTGCAGCATATTTCGGCTTTAATTTTTGGAAAATCAGTTACAAATAAAATTTTTGAAGTGTGCGGTAAATCTCCCGGCCAATACTAGGTCGTAGGTGGAATGCTCGTTTTCATATGTCAGAACCCGACTTTAACTTAATTCTAGCATCTTAAATTAAACGTCTGTTCCCATCAAAATATTGACATCCCACACACATAGAGCCTTAAAAATAGCTATAATGCACCTGGGGAGGTGTGTATCTAGGTGGAGACCAGAGGTCCACTCGATTATTAATGGCTGACTTGTAACCCAAACACTTCTGCCTGGTAAAGTTGGAGTAAACAGTGACACGTGGCATCCATCAGTGATATTTTATCAGTGAAGAATGCGGCACAACCCATAGCCATTCAACCAACTTGATAAGGGTACTTCTATGGTCTTCCTCTGCTCCCATCTACAAGCATTTCCCTTTTTAAGAGCAAATTATCTGATCAAGTCGTTGTCTAATTGGTTCCTGTGAAGGAACCACTTCTATTAAAGTGACTGTTATTTTAAGACACTAATTTGGAATACCTAGATCTTTTATTGGTCAACATTTTTTTGAACAGCAAACATGCTTTTGTGCAATGTTGTGAATTACTTCTAATCGGATGGGATTAAAAGCGATTTGCTTGTAGAGTTGTTTTAAGGAAAGTGTCCTAACACCAGAACGTAGTTTCACTTGTGTGGTTTGACTGAAAACTAAATTTAGACATGATTAATCGTTACTGCAGCATTATTATTATTAACACGCTAAAGTGGATACGGGTTAGTTTGTACGACCCGGATGTTATGTCTAGAAAGTAAACAGGTTGGCCAGTTTTCACTCGTATGCACCATGCCAGTGATTAATGAGAATCATAACTAACAGACAGCATCTGTTTGACTTGGCAAAAGCAAAAACTGCATCCAATATTAGGATTTGACGCGCTGAAGTACTGACTGAAGTTATATCAATTGGCCAATTGACTCTTGACGATGTGATATGTTCGTTTAAATGGTTCTATTTACTGGTAGTGCTGTTCGACTTCATTCTATTTGATTTAATTTCATTTACAATAAACGAGCAAGGTAAATTTTTTAAGCAGTAGGCTCTGATGATTTCCAATGCATAAGTCTCTGGAATCGTCTTCATTTAATTTCACAGAGCATTTAATCACTAATTCGCATTTCTGTCTATTGAACTATATCTGAAACAGTTCATGTTTAGCGATTGCTTAATTTGGTTGACAAAGAGCATAAGTTGTATCACTTTTTTCAAATTTTGACGTCCCACCCATCGTGTTAAAGCTGCCGTTGTATGGCAACCTCTTCTTGTGTGAACTTGGACTAATCGGTGTGCCGCTTTAACGAAGTATGCCGAAGCTTCCATTTACGTTCGTATCAATCTGTTTACATTGTAAAAAAAGTACCAAATTATTATGCTGAAATTCCTCCCAATTTTACAAATTTGTTACAAATTATTGGTGTGAGTCCAATTATTTGACCTTGATGTGTCGTTTATACACGTATGAATCCACTTTGATGAAGCAGAGAGGAGGCTGGGCATTAATCGTATCTATGGTATTAGCTATCTCGAAACTTCGGCCTTAGTTTATTAGTAAATAATTAGGATAAGTAGCCAAACACCATTTCAATTAGTTTTGCTGGGCTCGTTGCCTGGACTTCACGACAGAAACACCTGGTGGGTTCGGGTCTGCATTGACCTGCCACCCACAATGCTATTTTACTCCCACTCATAAACTTCTGGGACTCAATGCACAAATAGGGAACATTTTCCTCTTATTGGCAAATGTGTTAGAGATTTTAATAGCGAATATAATTATGCTACACTGAACTTCTCAGCTTTCTGATTGCCACTTTAATTTGACAATGCCTTGTTCCGACATTGTGCAGACTTTTGTCTAGTTTTGTATCAACCGTTTTTAGGTTCTTTTGCACCTAATAATGTTATTTAAATATCTTTGTTTAGGTCTTCAAACGAGTAAGGCCTGCTAGAGATAACTTATTTAGATAGGTAGAGTTCGTAACTTCGATTGATTAAAAAGGTCTTCACGTCACTGGGATAGCGTTCCAATGCGGCCTTCGGTAGATGAAATGCCATAAACAAAAGATAAAAGAAGCCAAGAGTAGGGTTGTTACTCAAGTCCTCATTGGTCAGAGTGAGTTTCGGTTCGCAAAATTGTAGTCTTTCGATGCTAATATGCATTTTCACTTTCTCCTCTTGCAGACTCCAGGTTCATGGTCACGGACAGAAACATTTGACTCGATAAATGTTGGCACTTCGAATCGTTTTCGAGATGGGTGCTGTCCGATTGGAGACTCTAAGTACCGGCGCTGCAGGACCTGTGCACATCTTGTTTCCTGCTGTGGCCTCCTCCTTCTCTCTCTCATCTGTATTCCCCTCATTCTCAGCATCGGATATTTTCACATTCAAGTAAGTCCAACAGAAATACCTAGTCTAAATTATGATGTAGTCTGCCTCTGTAGTGCAGCTGAGATGAATAACCGGCCTCTCTGCGGCCGTGCCTCATCATTCTGGTAGTCCATTAACTCCATTTAGTGCGTCGATATCCCTGTGTAGTTCTCCGATTCTCATCTCCGTTTCCATGATTTTTCAATTTTAATAGTCAATGCTCGATGCCATCCTGGCTACCTAGTGTCCAGCTATTTCATTCGTTGTATTAACTAGGTAAAGCCTGATCAGCAAATCCTGAGTCATTTAAATTATTGGGCGCCTCCGTTTTTACTTACAAACGCTCATCAACTGAAAGCAGTCATCGAAATTACAGTTGGTAACGAACAATTTACCCCACACGTTTGGAAATATCGCAAGTTGTAATGTCCTCAGTTGAGCACATTGGTTGCCGCCCTGAAAATTATTCCAAAAGAAATCGCATGCCAATTCTATCACGGCAAATTCTCACTATGGAAGATCTGTTTCATGCATGTACGGATCTATCATTTTAAAAACACGTATTCCCCACTGCTTTTAATTAACCCTCACATGGGATAATACATTGCAAATGTATGCATGCAAATCATGTGCTACAATTGACCTTCGCTCTTTGATGTCTCATCAGTAGATCCTGGATTTTAATCTAACTTTTAGTCAGGAAATATGGACATCACTTTCAAAAGGAAAATTTTGTTACCTTTGCGCATCCCCATAAAGACGCAAAAGGTGTTTTTACACTCCCAAATTCGTTGCACGCTGGTTGCAGACCATTCTGTCTAACAGATTTCTCGGCCACTAATAGCCCCAGAGGAGTCCGTGAAGGCCGAACACGCCAAGTTTTTGTTGACTCGCCTTAGCAAAAATAGATAATAGTGGGAACATAAATTTCCAGCCTGGTCATTGTAAACAGCTTTCTTGACTCTTTTCATGCGCTAAGATGGTGTAATAGGAATAGTGAGAGAAAAGGTCACCGATGCAGTAAATGGAGGATTTGGGTGTGACTGAAAAAGATCTTATAAGTCTAAACTCCTATTTTCATGATGGCAACTAAGTCAAATTATTTGTCAAGTGCCCTCATAACAGGCAACTGGGCCAAAGCATGCCCAAAATATCCCTAAAATTCCCTACTTTCCTACTTCCGTCCCATTTTCAACTAAGTAAGGCCTAATCAGATTGGATTTTTACTCTGATTGGATCAGTGCGGTCACGATACAAGTTCGGTCAAAAAAGGTATTTAAAAGGTTCATAACAGAGGGGTCAACTTGACGAGTTATTTCCGAAATCTTGATGGAATCAGCCATGTTTCATTTTGTGGCAAAAAATTCAGTTATACAAACGGCCTGTAATGTCGTTTTGTTAAAAGTAAAGATTGCTCTGGAAAAAGATAGGTACGTATCTCTTCGATAACCCAATAGGGAAACTCGTTGTAAAGTGTTTTCATAACTAGTTACGAATTCCTTTATGGCTATGACCTCAACCCTGGATTTTTTATTCTCCTTAAAATCGAATACATAAAGTAAATCGAAACGTAAACATCAGGCCCTGAAATTCAACTTAAAATTAATGTAAAAGTGAACGCACTTTTTCGTTGTGAACATAACGCAGCACAGCGCAGATGCGCAAAAATTATTTCTTCTAGTAAACAAGGGCATCAGTAAACTTTTGTCCACTTTTCAAGGAGGTAATTTGTCATAAACACTTCTCACAAGGCGTTCATGATCTTTAGTTGTGTTAACTGAAAAAACTGGTAAATAAATCATCCACCTTTAAGATGTATTCCAGTTTCGAAGTTTTATATTCTTCGAAATGTTCGAAATTAGCAGCATTATTCTAACTTCAATATAAACCATTATATCTTCATCCAACAGCTGGTGTCTGGGGTGGTCTTTAAGCAAAAAAAATGTCCGTAGACGCTTTTCCAAAAATGTGTGACTAAATTCAGTTGGTGAACATGATTCACCCTAACTCACCATTAGGTCCCGCACACAATTAATCTTCACCGTTCCACAAATAGCATATAAATACGCCCATGCGCGCACCACGATGACACACCATTCTCGTGCTGCAGAGGGTCGCGGTCTGGTAAACATCTTGCCCCGTCAGTTACCCTCTGTAGTATTCCCGCTAGGGGTATCCAGAATTAACTACCAATTCAAACATGCTAGATTAGGGCCCGTTCCTCGTAAGGCTTGTTATTAAAACGTAACATTGTTTGCTCCCTGGCAAGTACCACCTGGGTATCCGTGCAGCCGTCTAGCCTCTCTCTGAGGAAGTGGCATTGTAAAATGCGCTGCAGAATTCATTTTAAATAATTTAAGCCATCAGGAATGAAGGTCTGTTAAACGTTAGCCACACTAACTTTACCTGGGAAAAGCGTTTAATTAATTTAATCGTTTTAGTGGACAATTCACTTGATTTGGCAAGTTAAAAGGCATTCAGTCACGAACTAATTCGGAATTTTCCGGATGTATTTGCATCACAATTTTTGCCTTTAAACCACACCGAAGTCCTTAATTAAAAAAAAGCTGATGTGCCATTGGTTGGAAAGACTGGAATGTTTATTTCGCAGTATAATGTCAACCATCTTAAAGTGCAGTGTTGCCATGGTTATCGTGGGTGCGCATTTCGGCATTTCGTAAACACCAGTTGGGTGTTAGGACATCAGAGCTTTTAAACTGTTGCTGAACATTGTAAAGTTACATTTTTTCGTGCTTGGTTCATCAACGCTTGCCAAATTTTCGATTCAAACAAAAGGCAGGAAGGCCTCTAATTTAGTTGATAAATTACACATTAAATCTAGAAATCTACCTTGCTTAAGCTAACTCCAGAAATTCTTTACACTATTTGACGCGATCGACCTAGATGTGTTCCACTGTACGACGTCGGTCGAGAGTAGTAAAACTGTTCATTTATTTGTTATTTTTAAAATAATATGCGTTAAGCCATCCTGAATACACTATCCCGTTTTAAAACTAAGCTTCTCGTCTTCCAATCACTTCTGTCCTACGAAAAATGTGATCTCAAGGGTTTGCCTGGCTTTATCTTTTTTTTGGTACAGTCGATTCAGAATTTACAAGAAAGGTTTTCTGAACCATCATTTGTCATTAGCGTATCATTGGACATGGAAAATTTGGTGTAACGTTTTCCATACATCTGCCGTCTTTTTTTACATAAACAGAAGTGTTTGGAAGAGGTAGGTTTGTTCACCTTAAAATCTTCCATTTTTTGTTCATTTAAAAATTAACTAAATTGATGGTTAGGTGTACGATGTGTTGATCCTATTGCTAAACCGATAACAGATTAGAGATGTTTGCATCATCCTTCATAAATACTAATATAGCTATGTAAGTCAACTGCAACAAATCAACCCACGGAAATGCATTTCGAGTAGCAGTCCATACTTAAAAGTGGAAGTGTAACCTAGCCACTGTGCTAAATCGAACCGATTGTTTTTGGAAATATGCGCCAGTTGGTTAGAAAATTAGGGAGTTCGTGATACTGTAAGAGTATTCTTAGTGTGGTTTTTTTCATATGATGAAAATTACTCAATAACCGACGATATTATTAGCAATAACAAGTGCTTTTCATGACCTGAGTTTTTAACGCTATTAAAAACCACTAGCTTTTCATATAGACATTTGAAATGTTTATGACACTACTCAGCTGTCTTATTGGTGCTTTAGGTATCGTTTTTAAGTGAATAAAATAACATCACAGCCATTCTGTGGTCATTCTTCTTCAGGATGATCTCTTAATAAAACATTGCATTTAAAAATAGAAAATCATGTACCAACTTAAAACGATTGGCATGTTCAAGACATCGGGGCGTACTTTTTGTATTTTGAAGTGACATCTAGAAAATCCAAATAGTCAACGATTGACTTCAACTTACTTTGTTGATCTCTTAAAGTGGGACGTAAAACGGCGACAAATCTGAAAGTGTAAGGTGCTATGCTAATCTTTTTTGCTGAATGATGCCTGAAATCCTTCTGCTGGAAGTGAAGCTTATGGATTAAATGCAGCAAGTTTGGCTACTGACTGTTCTTTGGCGCTAGCGTGAATTAATAAGCAATGGCTGATCAATATATTGGTACTCACGCTGGTAATTTGCATGAATTGTCGAAGGACGATTTTCTAGCTGACAATATCGCAAAAAGCCAACATTCAAAGGTTCAAGCCTGTAATCATTTGAGGGCACTAGATCTTGTCTATTTGGTGATGCGATCTTAAAATCACACAATCTGGCGTTAAAATGCCACCCATGTTGTTGAATAAGTCTGGTCTCTTAGCTAGTGCTATCTCGGCTTTACTCGATCATCCGTGCTGACTACCAGCTTTGATAATCTCTCAGTTGGTACTGTGCAACGTTCACTTTACTCTCCTGTACTTAAATTTCTCATAGGACAGTGCTTTAATTGCGTTGGAGAGGAAAGTTTGGAAAACGAATCCTTCCATTCTTATTTTATTTACCGAAAGCAAATAAATTTCAATAAAACATGACATGGGTAGTTTTCAACAATGTCAACAATTTTGTGCGTAAATAGCGACCGCATTTGGCCTTTGTTCATTTGCTAAGCAAATGACTACGATGTTAGCACATTCTCCATGCCTGCAAGCTCAGTCAATACGTCGTGACCTATTGATTGATCAAATCAATCGAAAAGTTGAAGCAATCTGCTTATGGCCTTAAAAAAGGAAAAGTCGTTCTCTTCCACCCCCAATTGGTTTTCGACATACCAGCGTCATGCTGTTGATGTCGGTTTAAAATTCTGCATGGCCTTACTGCGGGTGATATTTCGCACATGATTATCCTAGTCTACCGAAACCGCGATATCATTTGCTCAAATCACGTACACAATATTTGTGTCTCAGTGTCATGCAACATAAGACGAAAATCATTGATAAATAATAAAACCTTCACCTAAACCACTCAGTCCACTCTACCCCAAAATGCAACCATCACGAGAACATCCACTTTATTCCTGGCTCTTTTGTTACTACTGTTGAGATGCCGTATAACACTAACTACCCAACAATGATGGAGTCTGCGGAAGAACAGGGAGTCAACCGTTTATTCGAGAACTTGG